AAAATGATCAGGCTGGGTGTGGTGGCCCAGGCCTGTAATCCCAGCACTCAGGAGGCCAAGGCAGGAGGATTGCCAAGAGTTTGAGGCCAGCCTGCATTACATAGCAAAACCCTGTCTCAAAAAAAAAAAAAAAAAAAAAAAAATGACCTTGGATGTTAAAATGGTTTCTATAGCTCTAACAGAGCCACAGTACATGGAGATATAAAGAATATCTGATATTCAACTTTCATTGTTACATGGAGTAATGAGCAATCAGGGAAAAACAAGTATCTAAAAGATCCCCAAAGGCAGATGATGAAGTAAAAATGAAAGTCAGACACATCACTGTGTATCTACATAATCTACATTGATAGTAGCTGATGGTTATTAAGGCTTGGATTTGAAATGTCAGCAAAAACTTACATGGTAAAGGCTTGGGCCAGCTGATGTGCTTTTGGAGAAGTGACTGGCTTATGAGGGCTCTAACTTTGTGAGTGTAGTAACCCACTGATGAGATCATTATTTGCTGGCATTACTGGGAAGTGATGGAACCAGGGATAGGGACTAGCTAAAAGGAGTGGCCCACGAGGTCATAAACTTGGGGACAATTATGTGGTCCCTGAGCCCTTCCTCTTGGATGCTCCACCCTCTCTCTCTGCTTCCTGTCCCCATAAGGAGAGAAGCTTTCCTTTACCACACCATTTTGCATGTTATTTCAGACTCGCCTCAGGTCTAAAAGCAATGGAGCCACCTAACCATGGACTGGACCCTCTGAAACCATGAGCCAAATACATCTTTCCTCCATTCAGTTGTTTCTGCCAGGTGTTTGGTCAGTGACAGCAAGCGGGCTAACACAAACACTTCCACCTCAGTGGCATTTAATTACTTTACCACAAAAAGATCTTATTTCTTCCTTCATCATCTGAACTTTGGGCTTTTCCTCTTAAATTTTGAAGGCTATGTCTAGTAAGAAATACTATTTTAATGATGAAAACATTTCCCAGTTTTTATTGCTTTATTGGTTTGCTCAAGTAAGTAGTGACCCAGTTTCTATATTTCTAAACAAAAGCAAAGACATTTAATGGATTATCATTCTTCCTCATAAAGGCAGGGATTCCATTAGATTTTAAACATACTTAAATAGTATTTGATAGCACATAAAAATGATGAACTATCATACAATAATATAAAGTGATATTTATTCAATATTAATGATCTGATATTTGTGATACTATATTAAATGTAACTGAGATAGAACTGACACATTGACTGTGATCTTAACTATATAAAAATGTGCATAGACAAAACATTAGAAGAAAGCATTCCAAAATGGAAATAATGTTTCTGAGGAAAGAGTATAAGTGAGTTCATTTTATTATTTTTTCTATAATTCCATTTTGCTTTGTAATGTACATGCATTTATTTGTAATTCCTAAAACAACAAGAACATTTGGACACAATGGCATGCCCCTGTAATCCCAGAACTTGGGACAGAAGGATCACAAGTTCAAGTCCTGCCAGGGAAACTTAGTGAGTCTCTTTCTCAAAATAACAAAAATAAAAAGGGGCTGGGATGTAGGCTTGGTGCAAAGGCCCCCAATTTCAATCAATCGCCTGTACCACAAAAAGAAACCACAACAATAGTCTCCATAGATCCCCTCTGGTAGTTTCATAAATTTGAGTTACTCAAAGATACACGATGGAGAATCAGACAGAGGTAGAGTTTGCTAATGTAAAAAATATAGGAAAGCACAAAGTGAGGGGCTTTCCTAAGGCTACAGGAATAATGAGAAGCCGGGTTTTAAGATTCCACGTCTGCCTTCACTACTCCTAATAACCTCCAATTCCTTTGTTGTCATTACTACTCCTTCACTATTACCTTTGACTTCATCATTAAACATCTCCAAACTTAGTTTAACAATATTATTATACACAAGTGTGATATTTTCTGATTTTAGTTTGGCTGATGGGAAAACAACAAAAGCTTTATTAATAAAGAACAAATGGGTGCAAAGCTTATTGAAAAAGACAAAACTGATTTAAATCTTATTAGACTAATACTAGATGTGACATGTTGGAGAAATTACTAAACTTCACTCTCTTATACTTTTCTATGAATTAAGATTAATAACTATTTTAGAATGTGAGAAATAAAATTTTGTCTGTATTAAAATGTCTAGAAAAATATATTTATATTTTATATGTTTTAACCATATATACTTATAAAATATTCACTATATAAATGTGTAATCATAAATAACAAAATATACATTTTTACAATATAACAAATACATCTGTTTGTATATAACAATAGATATATAATAGATATTAAACAGTTTAAATATCTCATATATCTACATATATCAAATATTTAGCAGATCATTTGGCCACAGTAAATGTGAAAAAATATTAAATATTTTATTATATAAAATAATATTGTACAGGGCTGAGGGTATAGTTCAATGGTATAGTGCTTGTCTAGTGTGTATGAGGCCCTAACTTCAATTCCCAGGATTGAGACAAACAACCAAAATACAACAAAACAACCACAAAAGTACTAAATATACATTATTGAGACATAATCTCTAAAGTTATTTAGTAAATTAGTGATCATTTTTGAGACAGACTTCAAAACTCCTAGACTACTGATTTCCTCATATTTAACAACAGCTAATGATTAGAAGAAAAAAATAATGTGAATTTAACTGATCGAGACAGTGAAATCTCAGATACATTACAACATTGTTATTCTACTATAAATTGGGTCAATTAATTCTGAAACTCACTTATGCCATAAGGCCAAGTTTCTGCTACCCTGGATACAAAGTCTGTCTATAATGGCATGATTTAATACAATTTTCATTAAATTACAAATTAATGAGAGATTTTACATACATTGCATTTTGGATACTTATAGAAAATGGTTATAAAAGAGCTACATTAGTATTACATTTGGAAGGAAAAAGACTCCAAGGTGTACGGTTTTAAATCTCAAGTGCACATAAGATGTATTATGTGTAGTTGAGCTGTGGTACAATTTCCTTTCTTGAAAAAAATAAAAGAAAAATCTTAAAAATAAATAATTTACTTAAAACATCTTAGCACTCATGACTACACTATACAATTCTAACCTTTGTATGAACTGAAGCCATGGTTTCTAATAGAGATCTTCACAAATATAACTATAGAAATTGGTCCTAATATAAAATTAATTCAACATTCTATCAATTCTCCTTTAAGCTAATAGAGAAAAACTAGCATTAGAATTCTTTTTCTAATAAGATAAGATCTTTGCCTGATTACAAATCCATTTAAAAGAAATTATGGAAAATTTGAGCACTGTTTTCAAGAGTAAACTTGAATTGCCATCTAAATACTATAAAACCTTTCCCAAAGTTAATGCTTCACTTTGCCACATGCATTACATTTTTAAAAAGAATTTAATCTGCAGCATAATATATAGTAAGAGAAAAACAAATGAAAAATTTGTAAACACAGTTATTACAGACATGAAATGTGAATAATACACTCATGTAAGAAACAAGTAGATTATGAAATATTTTCTTTGAGAGAAACAAAATATTTGGAAGGCTTATTGTGTATGTTGACATGCATGTCTGTACACATGTTCTTCATGGGTAGGATAATGAGGAAGATTTCTTTAAATCAATGAAACTATATTTTTGAATTCTTTAAAATACTCTTTCCTCAGAAAGCTTGTCTATAAATAATTTATGATCATTCAGTTAGCTATGAAAGATGAAAAAAAACTGAATTTACAAGGTATAGCAGCAATTTTATCAGAAACCTTATTAGGTAATTTTTTAAAGGCTTTAATAAAAAACAGATTAATTACTGCAAAATAAGGGCTATGAGAATCCTGAAGGCACCAAATTTTCAGGGGAAAGACGTAACCCAGAAGGTAGTATCAGACTCTGCTAGTGTGAAATAAAGTAGTGGACAGGCAGGTAGCTGTCAAGAACAACACATGAACAAACATAAGTTGGAGATACAATATCCTATTTTGTGTGGTTTCACTGTCCCCTCAAAGCCTCATGGGTCAGAGATGGGGCTTTGAGGAGCGACTAGATATGCGTGTATGATACTGGATTAGCCTACTGATGAGTTTAGCATAGTTCTAGGTGTGGGTGATGGACTTACTGAAGAGGGAAGTCCCACCCCGGGTATGGGTGGGACCAACCAATAGGCTACCAGTCTGGATGGAATAAAAAGGAAAAGAAGACGGTAGCCTTGTTGCTTCCTGCTCTCATGCTATGGACTGTTTTTCTCCTTTGCAATGCTGCCCTGACTTTGAGCTAGTTGTCTGTGGACTGAAACCTCTACAAACTGTGAACATTTATAAAATTATAGAGGGAATTCTGCATTTTCCATGCATAGCATCAAGTAAGAATGCCTGTGTTGGTAACTCTCAAAAAAGCTCATTACTTATTTTGATCACAAGTTACAGAATATATTACTATTAATAAACTTCATGGAAGAAAAACAGTAGCATTTCATTACGAATGGTATGAATCTGACTTATATTTACTTTATGGAATATTCTACTTGACGGCCGACACTGGAGCATGGCACAGTGGCCCCAAATAAGCCATGTGAATAAATAGGTTGCTTAATGCAGTTTTGTGCTAGTATTATTCTAGTCAGATTTATGTCTTAATGGAAAAATAAGGGGACACAACACTTCAGTGTACAAAGAGATTCTCCCCATTTCCCAAATATGTTAAGGCAAAATAAGGAGAACACATAAATCCTGAATGAATGAATGGGGCTGTACTGACTGATCAAAGACAATATTAAGCCTCCTTTTCTCTTTTCCCTGAAGTACTTTTGTGGGCATTCCTTTCATAAAAGCTTCACAAGCAAAATGGAAAGGTGATAAAAATATTTTCTTAGGCAGGTAGCACTCATTAAATATACAAAAGGAAAGAACAGGTGGTCTGAACAGCAAAGAGCACTCTTCAGATATTACTTGTTATTAGTACTGTCATTAGACCACTCACCTGAAGATGAAGGAAGGTGGTCATAATCCTGTGATGTTCTGTTGGATTTGACATTTTCTCCTGGTAATCTCCTAGCAGGAGGCAAAGGAACTTGGCCACTTGCTGGGTCAAAAAAGGGATCTTAAAATGAAAGATAATTCTGAAGTTAAAAAGACTATCTGTTGATTGGCTGAAGAAAAAAAAATCTTAGAAAATTTTATACAAGGATTATAGTTTACAAAAATAAATTAGAAACTAATCTTATGACTAATAGGAACAACCTGCTACTCAGCATACATATTTTTAAACTAATTCACTTGCTCTAATGTGCCTTTCCCATTTATTACTGGGTAAGTTTTATTTATGACATTTTAAAATTCATACTCATTAGATTTCTTATTTAATAATAAAATTGCTGGTGATAAAAAATAGCTTCTAAATTTTACTTTCTGTCCCAGTCTATCCTTTGCAATGAATGGAAGGTGTCCGAAAGGAACAGAGGAAAACAGTGCATTTGAATTTTTCCTTTTAGACTATTATCTAATCACTTAATCTCTCTAAGCATTAGGCAGACAAAAATCTGTAAGACTGACCTGAAGTTTGGGATTTGTGGGGATTAAGTGAATTCATGTATCTAAAAATTTTCTGTACATATAAAGTGCTTGTTTAATGGTAATATATCAGATAACCTATGTTAAGAATCAGAATTGTTTGCTGGTTCAATAAAGAATAAAGTCATTTGTTAAAAACTGTGCCCTAATATTAAGATTTGATTAACAGGAAAATGTAATTTTTTATCACCTTTGGAATCAGGAATAGGACATCGAAAATTGTGAAAAATATAAATTGTAGATAAGTTAAAATTATTTTACTATTAATGATGTTTACTAACTGGCACTAAGGGGAAAAAAGATGTTTTCAGTGTTATTGCATTAAATCATTAGGACTATAACTTGCTTCATTAATTTCAGCATTAAAATAACTCAAAGTTTGAGCTAGGGTTAGGGTCGTGCTAAGTCACTAAGCTGCCCAGGCTGAACTCTAACTTGTCCTGCCTCAGTCTCCCAGAGTGCTGAGATTACAGGCATGTGGCACTGTATTGTGGCCTGAGCTTTCAATATTTGAAGACTGGATGGTCCAGCCACATCAATTTTGTTGAAATATTTTAGGAAGGAATGAGATAAGTAAAATTCTATGCAACAATTATTGATCTTTGATTTGTCAGAACACCCAAATATGTAGTTACTGCATAAATTTTGAAATATTCCAAAGCTTTAAGTAGTCAATAAAATGTACTTTACATCCTTGTGTATCCTGAACACCATGACATAACATTAAGTCAGAGAAAATTGTCTTTTTACAATGCATAAAATTGTTCATTTCCTTAGGGATAATTTTTAGGCATATCAGATATACTTATGTTATTTCCAATAACCCATTAAGGCTAAAAGGTAAAATCTGGATACACTTCAGTGTAGTTTGTAGTCTATAAACTACATATTGTACTATGCTGCTGCATTAAGCTATTTTACTTAAAATATTTTACTTAAGCTATTTAGGTACACTAAAAATATTACTACAAGTGGCAACAATACTCAAGACTCTCTTCTGAGTCACTAGCAGGTTCTGGCTTGCTGTTGGTTAGGGATGGGTAAGCTGGGCTCCCTGTCTGCAGTTTTATAGTTGGAAGAATTTGTGTTCTGAAGAGAAAAAACATATACAACACAATTGCTACACAGAATATTATTACTAATTGTCCTCCAATAAGGAAAATTTGGAAAGCAATAAAGAATTAAAGTTTAACATCTGAATTTAGGATTAAAATATACAAATTAAAAATGCTGTGGCCTGAAACATTTCTAAATTTTTACTCAAGTATAAAAGAAGAGACAAAATTGAACAGTTAAAACAATGGCACATTCTTTTGTGGCTATTTAAAATTTGGAAGATTTTAAAAGTACACCAATGTAGAATGTAATAATTGCTGGAAAGGGTTTGAAAAGCTATTTACATGACAAATAGTTTTGTTTTTGCTGTCCTCACACACTAACTCACCTTCATATAATCACCAATATGCAAAGAAGTGGTCAGGGACTGAAACCCTTTAGTGCCTCAGAACTCACTACCCAAGGTATAATTTTTTTTTTTTTTAAGATAGCATCTTGCTATGCAGTTCAGATAGCCCAGGTTGGCCTTGGACTTGTGGCAATCCTCCTGCCTCAGCCTCCCTAGTTATTTCTACCTTCTGAAATGACATGAAGAAATACAATCTGTCTTTCATAGATAGTATAATTGCAGAAAATTCCAATATGTACGTTAGGATGTTTAGCCCAGAGTTATTTTAACCAACTGCAGTTTTCTAAGGATGGAATGAATTTCCTTTGCCATCCTAGTTGTGCATCTTTGGCAACTTCTTAGCCCAGCATATATAAAATATAAGCACCATCAGAACAGGGCAGCAGGCTTGTGAAAACACATACTGCTGGGTGTTACAGAGTTTTTGATTTAAGGTCCTGAATTTTCATATTAAATAAGATCCCTCAGAGAAGCTGATGCTGCTGATCCGGAGACTAGTTTGAGACTCAATGTACCAGCCCTTTACTCCTTCGACATGTGCATACAACAGTCTACACTCAGGCTGAGCAGTCTTACTCCCCTGATTTCAATTCTGTGGGTGCAATCCCCAAATGGCAGGAGTTCCCCAAGTGGCTACACCCAACAGTGCTTCAGAAAGGTTGTAGTCAACAATACCCTCCCAAATCCTTTCCAATAACTGTTGCTAATGACCCGGCTTATCTCTCTGTTCTACTTACACAATTGGATTTCTGTGTTCATCTAGAAAAGCTTTCATTTATCTTTAATGAAGCCAATTTTGCCAGCTGTAAGAATTGAATTGTGACTTTAAGATTGGATAAAGACTTCAAAAGAGATTCTCGGTTTAGAGGAGTACTGAAAAAACGGTAGCCTAAGGGCTGCCAAATGTGCTGTCCAATTTCTGTGCACCTCACAGAGACATCCAATAAAGAGGAGAAGCAAGCTTAAATACTGCCCTTGCTCTGTTCCTCCAGCCAAGACCTGGCCCGAAATAGCAGGAAGGGTGCCACTAGCACAAAGGAACACTTTTTTGTATTATAGGACAAAACATATAAATGTTAGTAGGCGAGTTGGGTTTACAGGTCGAAAAGCATGAGGCTATTGTTGAGAAATCCAGGTTTTGTTAAGATATGATTGTTCTGTCCAGAAGAACTGATACATGTACAGAAATGGGCATTGTTGCTTTGCCAGCAGAAATCTTGTATGAAAGCCTAAAATAGGAAACAGATAAAAGAAGAACCAGATCCATGGCCCTGCTTGGGTTCCCCTCCTTGATCCTATGGAAGTCATGAGGTTGCTTTGTAGAAACATAGCCCTGCCATTGGAATATTGCAACAACAAAGAAGTAAATGGGTAGACCTGATTAGATATTTAATATATTATCATGAGAAAATCCATCTCCTTTTTCTAACACAACTATCCTATGTTTTTAAGAATAACTATTTCCTCAAGGAAGCCAAATCTCAATAATGCTTAAGAAACATTTATCATTATACTATAGTAAGATTTTACAGCCTAATCAACAGTGAAAACTAAGAGTCAAATGCTCACAGAGTTTTAGTTTGACGTCACATTATTTACTTTTTAGGACTCTAAATCAACTGAACTCTGGCAGTGATGGGATATTCTTTAATGAAGTTTAATTTTTAAGTAAAAGAATTGTTATCAGAAATCTATATTCCTCTACGTAGTCATACTATACTTTAGGCAAAGTTATACTCAAATGCTTATTTATGAGCCACAGGAAATTTTTATAATCTATAATATTATTGTGTAAAATAACTAAAATATTTATTTCGAAAAGCAAGAGAGCTAATATGTATAACTTTATATTGAATAAAAAATAATTGCTACAATGAAGGTCATAAAGGATCTGGCACTAGGCTAGAAATTTGTCTGTTAATGGCATGCAGGATTGGAAAGGAAAAAGGTTTCCCCATTTTTCGGAGAAGTGTGAATATGAAGGAATATGGATGTTCTTGGGAATAGAATGAGAATACTTCCATATAGAAAGTGGGGACATGAGCGAGTGAGGGGTTCACTGCATCAGCCTCACAGTCTAGGCTAAGTCTGGCTTGCTGAGTTCCTTGGCAACCAACCAAAAGTGAAACAAGCAAATATACAAATGAAAGAAAGTGATTTCCATAACTCTCACTTATCTAAAACAACACCCTGGGGTGGGGGGCGATGTTGATTTTGAAGTACTAAATTTTTTTTACCAATTAATCCTGAGGTGATTTATGAAGATTTTATATAAGCCAACGAGCAATAAAATTATGTTAAAGATTTAAAACATTTTATATTTCTTTTGAAAAAAACAGGCAAAAGTGAGTATCTGCATAAAATGTTCTCTGCTAGCTCACTGAAAGACTGACTTTATTTTAAAAGAAACAACACTGAGGTTTCATCTACTAGGACTAAAGTCACATCTATAAATGGTGCTAAGTACTTTGTAGGAATCCAGCCAGAAACCATTGAGAACTTAGCATCACAAAGCTTAAGTAACTCAGAATTATTTCATTCATTTAGAAAAGTCATGTTAATTAAAAGTCCACATGTAAAGCAAAGGTTTCAGTAAGTGTAAGTGAAAAAAACAGCAAGATATATCAGCTTATATGTAGCCACATGGTAAAAGCCTAGCTGATAAGTTATCCACGCTATCTGGTTGGAGAGGATGGAGTAAGGAAGCTCGCTCTTTGGTGGAGCCTCTGTGCACCTCACAGAGACATCCAACAAAGAGGAGAAGCAAGGTTAAATACTGCCCTTCCTCTGAATGATTAAGCTCTGTGAGGTCAGGAGGCATCTAACAGAGTGAGGGAGGCAGTGGCAGCCTCAATATTTACTGATGAACAACTAAACTGGAGAGTATTCTCAAACAATAAATCACTTTTAGAAACTGAAGTGATATATATGGTTATACAACCATGACTTGCATTTCATTAAATATCTTCAAACACTAAATTATCACACCAAATGGAAGAAAAAAAAGGACTGTGAAAAATGAATACAAAAAGAGACTAACAGTTACTTAAGGGAAATAATAATGGTTAATACTCTCAAATTTTTATTGCGGCACAGAGGTAGCCAAAAGAAAAAGCATTTTTAAAGGCTTTTCAGGATTGATCTCATATAGAAATAAAAAGCATTTTTTTTTAACTTTACACTACATTTTGCCAAACAACATGCCAGAGGCAAAACACATTAGAGCACAGATCATAGTGTCACTAACAGGACAGGTAGGAAATTTAATACCAGCAGGTCCAGCATAACTGAATGTATACATGTATTAACTATTTCCTGGTTATTGTGACTAATGCAAACTGTTTACTAAGTGTCCTCAATTTTATTTGTAAAAGTCCATGTAAAAGTGTATTAATATAAAAATGTATTACTTTTTCCCATGAAGACCAATAATTTGAGTAGATACACTGAATCATTAAAAAACAGCAACAATGGAGATATTTCAGAGAAGCTTTCCATTCGTGTTATAATAATTTACCAGTATCTTTATTTTAAATAAAATTATGACACTAAGATGTATCCTATAAAATTTTAAAACTATTAGAAAAAGAATTTTAGTAGGTAAGGGGACAGAAAGCCTAAATTCTATCCCTTTTACTATTAGCTCAATCACTTAGACATTCTAGTTTTTCGGGATCCCTTTGTAAACTAAGGTATTGTTTGCACTGCATGATCTCTATACACTGTTCCTAAATCCTGGGATTCCCTATTGCTTTTGCCACCTTCCTAGTATTTTTGGGCACTAAATCAATCGACAAACAAACCCACCCAAATGCAACTCTAACTACCCAGGAGTTTTTCTCCTAGAGTGGTAGAGGCTCAGAATCACTAACAGGCATTTGAGAGTATGAATTTAGAAATATGTTTGCTGTAAGTTTTCTTTGGCCTTTTTCCCCGTACCTGAAGGAAGAAGGAAAAGGTCTTGTCCTGAGGATGGGCGGCTGTTGGAGCCAGGAGGTTTCGAATGTTCTATGAGACTGTGCCTTGCTGGGGGTGGGGGAGGTGGGAGGGCTGGGGGGAGGGCATCAAAAGCATCTTCACCTGCATTTAAAGAAAGATCCACATCAACAGCAGAGCTTCATGAATGGAAATACTTGGTGTCAGGCAAAGGCAATAACTGACTTTGTCTTGCTGCTTATAAAGAACTTCACTCCCAGGGTTTTCCAGAAGTTCACTGACTATGACAATGAGATCTAATTATTTTGTGGAAGTGTTTGGAGAGAAACACATTCAAACACACCCTTTCAAACTTTTACTGTCTCCCTTGTCTTTCTATAACAGGCAGCACTGAAGTTATGAAAGAGTTTATATTGTAGTTCATTTGTAACCTTATATTATGAGGGCCCTGGATCACTGAACTAAACATTATCATCAGTCCCACCATCAAAACAGAGTTCTCTGTGTAACAGAATTCACAGCCTCTAATTAGAAAATCGCACCATGCACGTGTAATTTAATGTCAAAGAATGGCTTAGATTAGCACATAAAAGTTTTTGCACTAAATTTTAATTCATTTAAAATAATGTTTTAAATATTACATTTATTGTCAAAATATACAGAAATGCCCTTAGAGCACAGGAATATGAGTATGTATATACATGTATATATATATGTTTATATACATGTATATACACATATACACACATATATACATATATATATACACACACACACACATATATAACTGATCTCTAAAGAATAACAGTTAAAATACAGATCTCCCTTTTGTGTTCCAAAAAGCTAGTTGCTTATATTTGATTATCTGTTTTAATGTGGTTTTAAGTCTACTTATTTTCCCCTTGTTACACCTTACTATTTTGATTCTTTAAAAAAATAAAGTACACTGAATATAGTTTCTCAAAACTACCTTAAATACTCAGTGAATAAGACAAGATATAAATTAGCTGCTTCTAGTAATGAAAATTTATATGTATTTAAGTTGAATGACAAGCATAAAGACAAATTAAAAACTTGTTTTACTATTCATTGAGCTTGCCTTGCAAAAAGCATGCAGAATATTTCCCTTTAATCCCCACAAATACTTTTATAGTTTAAAATATTTGAAGATATAGAGGAGTTTTGTTACCATTCCAATCTTGAGCTGTCATATTACCATGTTCAAATTCATTTTCAGAATCTAAATACCAGACATTACACTGGGCAACTGAGTGACACAGAGATCAAAATCATAAGGCTCTGACTTAAGAAGCTTAGATTCCATTAAAGAAGCTAAAGAAAATATTCGCACATAGGTATGATTCACAGGTGAAAGTATTTGGTCCCATAAAAGAGACAGAAACATGGGAAGAAAGAGAAATGGGGACAAGCAGCATTCCATGAATTGCTGAAGAAGTGGAAAACCTGGACTATCAGAGGGCTCAAAATGTATTCATGAAATGTAAGGATGGAGTGATCTTCTAAGCTGAATGAACAGAATGAACAAAAAAATTAGATGGACAGGAAAAGCTACAGGAAGGATGGAGCAGAGATAGGTTGCAACATGTATCTGAATTATCCAATAAGGTAGTCACCACATACAGCTATTTAAATTTAAATAAACAAAAATTCAGTTCCAGGTGTCACTTAACCATACAGAAATACACATATCCTTTACATCCCCACAGAAAGGTATCCTGGGCAATGTTGCTGATCTAAGTCATGAAGACTGGGTAATAGGTCAAGAAAGAAAGAAAAGGTGTAGAAAGAAGTGAAAGAAGAGAATGTAAGTTAAGAGCCAGTTGTAATTAATATAGGTGAGAATAAAGCCCTAAAGTACAGAAATAATAGAAGCGAAAGACCACGCAATTCAAAATATTGTTTGCGAGGCAAATAAAAGTTCATTCATATTTCTAGTGACCTAACAGATAATTCAGCAGAGTTTATAAATGGACCTTTATCATCATCATACTATGTTATGGTGAAGTCATAGGAGTGCCTTACGACATTAGGGTGAGAAGTTTCTACTTAAGATTACTGTGATTAACAGTGACACAGGCATCAGCCTACTTCAAGATATAAAGGCTGATCAAAAAATATGGTGTGTGTTTAAATAAAAATATTATGGTAAAAGACACATTACATTGCCATTAGTCTCCCTGAAGATACCGCCTTTCACTTGAAACACACTTATTTCCTGGTTCTTGCCATTTTCTGAAACAGTTTTGGCAGTTTTCATGAGTATTTTTGGGTGTGACTAAAACTGGTGAATCCTGCTGCCATACGCCGTCTACTGGAAAGGCAAGCTTATGAAAACATTACAGTGTGTCTTCATCCACCTTATTCACAGGATTTAGCACTATGTAACTTCTGGTTCTTTCTCTAAGTCAAAATGACCACGAGAGGTAAATGTATGAATCAGTGTGGGACACCAAGGCAGCCATGACAGCGCAACTAATGACCCTCACAAAAGAAGACTTTCAGAACTGCTTCAGAAAGTGGCAAGAATGATGGGATGACGGTGTTAGATATGAAGGGGAGTACTTTGAGGGGACTTAATGGCAATGTGTGTTTACTGTAATAAATTTAAATTCACATATATATATATATATTTTTTTTGGTACCGGGGATCAAACTAAGAACCTTGAGCTTGTGAGGCAGGCAGCATCACTGAGCTAAATCCCCGGCCCTAAATTCGTCTTTTTGATAATACCACATAGATACACACCAAACTGTACCTTCACATGAATACACTCACAAGTACACATGGTTTCTTTATAATATGAAACAGAGAAAGTGAGTTTCCTTAGAGGTATTATACTTTTAATAATTAGAATAAATCAATTTATTTTTCTATAAATACATATATCATTTTCTATATATATCTATTTCCTGCTGAAATAAAGGCAACTTCATATTTAATAAGAATTATTACATTTAAATCTTAATGTGTCAAATCATCATTTCAAAACTACTAGAACACAAGGACAAGTGAAGGAACCACACTCCTGTTTATAGGATTCATCTACCTATATAAGAGATAGCTTTATAAAACCCTGATTAACAGCCAGCTTTTATGCTATCACTTTGTAGTTTTAAACGAATTATATAGTGACAAATTAATCACAATCTATCTCAACTTATTGTTTTGTTCTGATTATAAAATAATTTTGTGTTATAGAAATATCAGTTATATACAAAAGTGTAAAAAAATCATAAAAATCACCTATAATTTTATGACTTACTGAAAACCAATTCATATGTCATTATTTTAATCATCTAAGTAGAGTAATGGTCATATGAACTTGGGAGTCACCATCACCTGGAGAACCCATTCTAAGGTCAGGTAAATTCAGAGCCCTGTGAACTTAACTCTGTGTTCTGATAATGCAGATATGGAGAAAAGAGGCAGGGGAAGGAGGAGTTTAATTTTTTTTAAAGATTTCAACCTAATGGAGGGATGAGAAGATCATAATCAGAGGGCGTCCTGTTGAGTGAAGAATCATGCTTTGGACTGTCCTGAGTTGGAGGCCTGGCAGGTGGCAATGGCACTGGTTCAGAGGCTGAATCAAAAACATCTCCTAGAGGATAACACAAAACCTTATTGTATTTTTGGTACAATAATGGCACAGAATTTTGCCTTTAAATTCTGACCATTATGACATAGATCACAAAGGAGAATATATTTTATACCTACCCTTTAAATATATGCCTAATTCAGGGATGTTTGATTTCTTCATCTCTGAAGATGTACCATGTGTTCCATTCAATATACAATGGCCATTATCACACGATCTAAAACAGAAATCAGAGGCAAAATCATATCAACATTTAAGAGTCCATTTAAAAATCGTGCAGGGTGGGTAGAGGGACCTAGCATCCCTGTACATATAGTAAAGTTTGAAAATAGAGTGTCTTTTCTGGAAATAGTACCACTAACAGTATCTAGATATTCTTCCCTTTATTTTAAAAATCAGAACTAAATAACTTGTAAAAGACGAATTATTTTTCTCATTTTCATTTTTAAAATTGAAACCAAAAATTACAAGGGCCACAAAAATTGCTGATACCTTAAATGCTTTTTTGAAACTAATACCTAGTCAAATTTTTCAAGTCAAAAAGAAGTATGTGTCAAGGCAAAGAATATACAACACTTGCAGTGACTTCACTATTTGTTGATGGCATTAATATTATATTTTTATTTATGCAACTTAAGATTTTTAATAAAAAATAAACCACAGCCCATAAAAGAAAAAAATTATTAAGCTTTCAGTAATTCCATTAAAATTCTGACAAGAATATTTGAAGACCCAGAGGCTGCAACACTATTGCTTATATTCAGTATGGCCCTGAATAAACTCTGGCTCTCTAACATTGTAGAGATACGAAGGCCTTAGGTACACAAGTGTTTAAATCTTAGTGTCTGTAAAAAGCAATGATATTCAATAAAAAGGTACATATGTTGTTTTCGGCACTGATACTCTGGAACCATACTATGAACACAACGGATAAAATCAAGGCATGAGAAGACAGGAATAGAGGTGCAGAGTATACTTTGCCTTCAGCATCTAGCTGTGTAACAATCACCTAGCAAAGAGCTATGGAGAATGAAGCTTACATTTTATACTCCTCTGAATTATTCTGAATTCTTAGAGCAAAGTTAAAGTACATTCATAATGGAGGAGACCATGGATATTTGAATAGATATTGCAAGTTTGCTTCATCTGAAATTCATTTACTCTCTGGTGGCCACTTCTCTTTAAGGGGCCAGATAGTTTCATTTAAAAATAGTTATCAAGTATTGAAAATTCATAATAATGATGGATATTTTTACTGCAACTGAATTGAATTATTCATTTACCATTTTGCTTTTTCCACATATTGACCTGATGTCCACATTCTCCTGATGTTCCAAAGGGGGAGCACCCAGGGAAAGGAATTGTTCAGGCTAAAGGGTGCTTTAGAGAGGACATAAGATGGTACTATATCCATCAGCTTTTGAGAAAGAATCAGATAAAGAATTCACTCCAATTAAGTTTAGGGATGATCAACATTTATTACTTCTCTATAACAGTCTAAAGATGGTAATTATGGTTATAATTCAAATTTATTTTCAGGATTCAGGAGGCCTGCCGCCAAAATCTCATTTACTATGATGTGATAATTAAAATTTAACATTAAAATTAGACCCCTTACTCACTCAGCAATAAAAACATAAGATTCCCAAGGAGACCAAAAAGGCTTATCCTATTTCAGATTTTAAAAATTACTTTACATTTGTAAGAGCCAAAGGGACGAACAATTTTAACAATTTCTATTTGATGAGAAGGAATGATTTTTCTCTAATAGATCAGTAGACACTTGGTTCTTTTGATGTAACAAAGTGCCTCAGAGGTGTCTTCTCAATGATACTATTTTATTAACAAATACCTTCAACACCAGCAATTAGCTAGCAGTTTGTTGATTCTTGCTTTGAAAAATGAAGCCCTGGATTGCCGAGTTACTGATCCTAGTTAATAATTCTGCAGAGTGTTGATAATTCTAAGCAGCATCAGTTATTGTCAGACCTGTGGTTAAGACAAAGATTTTTCTTTTCCAAGTACTGTATTTCATTTTCTGCCTCAGTGAGATACTTGAAGAAAGGGACTGAAATACTTTTCAGCTAGGCATGGTGGTACACACCTATAATCCTAGCTACTTAGGAGGCTGAGCCAAGAAGATCACAAGTTGAAGCCTGGGTGGGCAATTTAAGTGAGACCTTGTCTCAAAATACAAATTTTAAAAAGGGTTGTGAACTTGGATCAGTGACAGACTACTTGCCTAGAATGTGCACAATCTTAGGTTTAATCCCTAGTATCAAAAACAAACAAAACCCCACATTTCAGTCTTTTTGTCTGAAAAGAAGGAAGGTCTCCACTCATAAAATATTTTTAGTTGACTGATCTGACCTGGAAAGGAAGTCAAAATAGCCCTTAGTCAGCCAGGAGATGCTGGGCGTCGCCACCTAGAGGGATGTTACACTTCAGAAACAAGAGCTCTGAAGGACAATTATGAAGCTGAGATTTGACCATGAACTGACTCAAATATGTTAGTAAGATTAAAATAAATATAGAAATATTATAGTTTACTAATTAAAAGCAGAATCATGCTTTTACTTAAAGACAAACTAATATTTCAGTACATACCCAGCCATTATTGGTAACACTTATTTATCTCAATGTGGCTGCCACTTCTCAGAGCAGGGATATCCGAATTACAGTGAGGGTTAACAACAGGAAAAAAGAAAAACCACTGTATCTTACATTTTGATCTGATCCAAGAGAAGGTGAAATAGAACTTGATCAAAAAATCAGTTCAGAGAAAAACTTTGTTTTATTTTTGTTTTCTTTAAGTACTGGATAGAAGCAGGTGGCATATCAAGAAGGGAAAATAACTGCACTAGTCTTTACATCATAAAAAAAATTCTAAGGAAGTTTAACACTTTAGTTTCTCTACACTACTTTTCTTCATGATATGTGTTTGGAAGTGATAAAATACATTAAAATAGCTTATTAAAATATATAGTTAATGAACATTATATGTAATATATATCCCATTACATTTAGTTCCCTGTGAAAGAAATTCAGAAAAGAGCATAAAAGAGGTGGCTTTGAATAGAAAAATCAAAGATGTTTAGCCAAATATATGTGATTCAACTACATAAAAACAAATCCCACAGGTGATAATGCTTACGCAGATGTAAATGGTACAGAGCTGTCCAGATTCTTACCTAACAGAAGGTTTTACATTATGACAATGGGATGGTTGCGAATTCAGAGACACTGGATGGGATGAAGGAATCTTGTATTCATCGACATCCTCTGCTACTGGGTCTCTTGTTTTCTCTGAAAGAGAATTTGCTAATGGGCCAGTACACCTACCAAGGGAAAAAGAAAATCCAATCTAGTTTAAGCATCACACATATTTGGAACAGGAAAGTCTGATGTGACACATTTAAATCGAAAGACTACTTTTCACTTGTCTTCATTTTTCAATTACAGAGCAACACGAGGGACTGTTCTAGTAAATACAAATGGAAAGGCTTTGCAGTCTCTTGTTAATAATTTCTTGATGGGATAAAAGAATTCTCACAATTTACACTTGACTTTAGCCAAAAGGCCGAGAAGCAATAGAATTCTCATAATTTAAAATGATATGATGAGAAAAAAAATCAGTAGCTTGTCAAACAAAATGAAAGGGTCTTCGAGTTGTAATAGAAAATGTATAAAAGTATTCAAAAAGAAGCTATTAAAATATTAGCATTTCAAAACAATTCAAGAAAAACAAAAACAAAACAAATTAACATTTTGTTCCAATTTAACTTAAATGGGGCAAAGCAGGATTATAAAAATGTATGACAGTTTTATGTTAATAAAAAGTTTTACAGAATGGTCAAATATTGTTTCTTCTGAATATCACCTATAGTTGAAAAAAATTCATTTATTCCACTGAAATTTAAGTCTCCCATGAAACGGTAATTCAATTTGTTACATTCTCCCTCCCAACACAAACTAAGAACTAAAAATGGAATAATTAGAAGCAGATAATAAAAGAACTTGCCAAGTAAGTCTTTGACATACATTATTTTTACAGTTTAAATTCCCAGGCTAGTAAGAGAACTAAAAAGAGTAAAACAATTATCTAACATCAAAAGAAATTTTCAAGTATTTTACATACTTATTTGAGTAAATAAACAAAATTTAAAAAACCTAAAGAAGCAAACAAAAAACCTGTTTTTCACAGCTATTGCTACTGGAACTTGACTCTTGCTGATGACAATGAAAAATGTTAATCCTGAAATGCACAAACCCAACCCGACTGACTACAAGACAACTAATTAGTTTGCAAGACATTGGGAATACATACGTTTTTGTTAATCATGCAAATTCTGAGAGGTCTGCTTGCATTAAAAAAAAAAAAAAAAAATCTAACTGCAATTTTGCAGCACCTTCTGTAGAGGGAGCAAGAGGCCTTTGGTATATAGTCATCAAGCCTAAAATTCACTTTTTCATTTTGATTTCTTACCACAGATTGAGTATTCCACAGTTAAAATGCCTTGAATTAGTGGTGCTTCAGATTTTGGATTTTTTTTTTCAAATTTTGGAATATCTGTATAAACTTTACCATTTGAGCATCCCTAACATGATGCTCAAAAACTTCTTGATTTTAGAGGATTCTGGATTTAGGATTTTCAGAATAATAATGTCCAATCTGTAGTTAAAATGGAAACAATTTTGTGAGCTTTTCTTTATGCTAATTACAAGGAAATATTTTGAAAAACCTGAAGGTTTTCGAGCTTCAACTATATATCTAAGTTTCTAGCAAGTTTAGAGGTTAAAGAGAAACCTCTCATGATTTTTCACAGGTTTTTTCCCTCTGAAGAATTTTTCAATATTGATCTCTGAATTCTTGTTAGAGCTACCACAGAATTCCAATGGCCATTAATGGCAAAATCCAATCAACAGTGTTGTAGTGGTAGAAGGTCTGATGTTACAGTCCACAGCACAAACTGACTTAAGATTTATACCTACTATGGTTTAAACTTTGGAGATTTACTTTCCAACTGGAGGCCAGTAAGTGCAGAAACTGCAAAATGGTAATGTATTGACATTATAGCAGGGATTTAAAACATTTTACATAAATTCTTATAAATACAAGCGCAATTTAGCAAACTCAAGGATCAGAATTGGTTCTATTACCAGGCCAAATGAGAACTATATACATCCTTTCTATGCCCTAACACACTTTTACTTAGAATGTATTCTTTAAAAAAAAATACAGCTCAAGAATATACTACACAGGTGAAAATTTCTTCCCACATTGTGGGTTGACTCTTCACTCTGTTGGTGGTTTCTCTTGCTGTGCAGAAGCTTTTTAGTAAGAAGAGATCCCACTTGTTTATTGTTTGTGCTAGTTCACAGGCAACTGAGGTTTTGTTCATGAAATCTTTTCCTACACCAATGTCTTCAAGAGTTCTACCTAACCTCTGTTCCAGCCGGTTCAGCGTTTGTTTTAATATTTAGATCTTTAATCCATTTCAATTTTAGTTTAGTGCATGGTGAGAGATATAGGTCTAGTTTTAATTTGTGGCAAGTTGAAACCCAATTTCTTCAGCACCATTTATTAAAGAGGCTATCTTTCCTCCAGTGAGGATGTTTGGCTCATTTGTCGAAGATGAGGTGGGTGGTTGAGTGTGTCTGGAGTTGTTTCTGCATCTTCTGATCTGTCCCACTGGTCCTCAGGTCAGTTTCTTTTCCAGAACCATGCTGTTTCTATCGCAGTAGCTTTGTAGTATAGTTTCAAGTTGGGGGTTGTGATACTTCCTGCCATGTCTCTGTTGCCTAGAATTGCTTTTGCTATTCTGGGTCTCTTCTTGTTCCAAATGAATTTTTGGATTGTTTTCTCGAGGTCCCTGAAGTATATGATGGGAATTCAATTGGGATTGTATTGAATCTATATAGCAGTTTTGGAAATATGGCAATTTTCACTATGTTGATCCTTCCTATCCAGGAGCAGGGGATGTCTACTATCTAGAATCTATAAAGAACTTAAAAAAAATCAGACCTCCCAAATTTAAAGATCCAATCCAAAAATGGGCATCTGAAATGAATAGACATTTCTCAGACAAAGAAGTAGAAATAGCAAATAAACATGAAAAAATGTTCAACATCACTGGTCATTCAAGAGATGCAAATGAAAACAACACTGAGATTCCACTTCACTCCAGAAAGAATGGCTGCTATCATGAAATCAGCATCAAAAGAAACAAATGCTGGTGGGGCTGTGGGGAAAGAGGAACACTGCTCCATTGCTGGTGGGAGTGTCAACTGGTGCAACCACTATGGAAATCAGTATGGAGCTACCTCAAAGAACTAGGACTGGAAGTCCCATTTGACCCAGCTATTCCCCTGCTGGTTATCTTCCCCAAAGAATTAAAAGAATCATACCACAGTGATATATGTGCACCCATGTTCATAGCAGCACAGTTTGTAATAGCTAAAACTTGGAAAGAGCCCAAATGCCCATCAACTGGAGACTGGATCAAGAAAAATGTGGAGTTTTTTTATAAAATGGAGTACTACTCAGCCATAAAATGAGAAATTAGAGACATTTATAGCTAAATGGATGCACATCGAGGTGATACTAAGTGAGATAAATAAAATTAAATTAAAAAAAAAGAAAAAATAAGAATATACTGCACAAAGGAAAAAAAACACTTTTGACTGAATACTGAAAAACCACATCAATGTCAGGGATGTTCTAATAACTGCATATTATAGGTTACCTCCAAAGATTTTAACAGCTTCCAAGGAAACACTTCATTATGAGTTGCAAATGAGCAAGATTTAAAATCACACTTGTGCCTAATTCTATATTTCATCTTCATTCATAAAGAATTCTGACAGGGCGGATTTTACTCATTCTTTTATTCTGCTGCTAATCAAGAGATTATTTCTGAATAAAATGAAGAGCAAAGCTCATCTCATATTTTATGGAATAAGGGATTACTGCTAAAACTTACCAGTTACAGACTGTGTAAATGGATCTTGGTGAATTATATTTAGAAGTGGAATAAAAGTCAAATAGTTTTTGCATCCAAATATGAAAAATATGCTTTTATATCCCACTTATCACCATTATAAAGTTCTAGTTTATCTCCTATTTTAAAATGTTCAATTATGATACAGTATTGACTAAAAAGAGCCACTTTATGAAAATGTTATTTCAGCACATTTTATTCAATATTAGATATACTTTTATGAAGAAATGATCTTATCCAGTTCTGAACAGACAGAGAAGTAGTTTATATCATGAAAAGAAAAATAACAAAGGTACAAGACGAAGAATTTGTATATAAAATACCAAAGATAAATCTAAACTCATGTAAATTTGTATATAAAATACCAAAGATAAATCTAAACTTATGTAAATACCAAAGATAAATCTAAACTCATGTAAATAGTTATTTGTAATTATATGTGGGATTTTTTTTCCCTCCACAAAAATCATTCAAAAAATAGGCTTAATTTTACTTGCAACTAAATAAATGGTAAAATAATTAGATTTAGAATTAGTTTCTATTCATATATGTTATTCTTGGCAGTACTGAAGAATTCTAATTTAGCAGACATGGAACAACTTCAGGCACTGATTTAATCTGTGGAAAAGTTTTAGGACACTGGTGAGATAAAGGAGGACAAATCCTATTTGTCCAGTTCCAAATTAAAGTGTCAAGTAACCCCCCCCCCCATTTATGCCTGTTACTTCATCAATTTTATATTGTCATCATATGGTCCCATTGTGTGTGGCACTGTGGCTATCATTCCAGAGTTAATACATTGGTGATGAACTGGGACACATGCTCCCAAAGATGCAGAAGCATCCTGCCCCTGTCCTGCTCATCTTGTTAAATTCACTTTGCATTAGCTATTTTGAGCCTTCTATGAGATGTATGCATTTTCTACATATACACACTAGAAGTAGACCAAAAAAACCCTCAAAACCTCAAAACAAAAAAGAAAAACAAAAACTAGGTAAATTTTTTTTTTTTTTTGGTACCGGGGATCGAACTCGGATGCTTGCGCTTGTGAGGCAGGCGCTGGAACCATGGAGCTAAATCCCCGGGCAACTAGGTAAATTTTTATGCTGGCACAGGGGTGATTTTTTCTAATACTACACATTTAATTAGTAACTTTCACAATTCAAAACTGAAAGCTCAACAAATGCATTCCTCCAGAGCATTCTACATTCTTGGTGTTAGGCACATAAAAGGGGGGACCTTCTGCATATTATATTAACATTAACCCTTGTATCTCAAACACAATCCTTACCAAGTTCTTTTCTTTCCAATTTTGAGCAATATCTGACACCTTAATT